AAATTAACCAACCAGAAACATTAATAACTCTACAATCGCCGTCATGGAAGAATGCTTGAGAAAAACTTATTTGTATTGGGAAAAAAGCTTAAACTGCCCAAATTAAGCCAGATGCAACGTTAAAAAGAATTTCTGTATCATTTAGTCATATTGTTACACAAAAGGTACCTGAATTATAATCTATAGGAAGATAATTATTTCAAATCTTATTTATATTCCATACTCACATTGTCAAAGTGGCGAAGATTGTAGTTTGGAATTTTGAAAAAGAACAATCATCTTTAACAGATCAGATTCAGGCACAAGTATGACCCAAATATAATGATAAATTACAATAAAACCTCTATAAGTACACACCCTCTCAAACTCACACTCAAATTCCGGCCCAAATATACATACGACCTCTATAAATGCACTTTTTCTTATTATTCTTTAAGTGCATGTTGTTAAAGTTCAGTCCCAAGGACTTAAAGATATTTTACTGTGTACTGTTTCTTGTTAATCTATTAAAGTAATAGAGAATTAATAAAATGCTTATTATAAATGAACTGGATTGTTGCACTATTTGTTATTTTAACAATGAATCTTCCAAGCAAAATTATCACTAAAAAGAACCCAATATACAATTGACAGTTATAAGTAAATGACTCAGTACAAAGTACAATTGACAGCTACCTCATGAATTATTCTGATTTGTCCTAGTTTAACAATCTACAATTTATCATGTATCTAGTTACCTAATAAGTTGATGTTTAATAAATATAATTTTCCGTAGCCCTATAAATAATGGCTCTATAAAATGTATATAGTCAACATTTATCTTATAAGTTAATTGCTCAGTTAAATATACATATGATCGATAATTATATGTCGAAGACTCGATAAATGTACATACATACATGCTGATAATTATTTTATGAATTATGTGATCACTCTTGTTTTTGTAGATACCCTAAAAAAAATCAAATAGATTAACATTAAAAAAAAAATCAATACCTTAACTTTCACAGATCATATCTCAATGAACTTTAAAGCTATCTTAAGGATTTGATATTCAGAACTAAGTTTAGATCTTAAACTTTCTTTTGATTATCTAATCATTAATATAGCTTCAAAATTCTTCAAGATACAGTATGATCTGTAAAAGTTAAAGGTATTGATTTTTTAAAATATTAATCTTTATATAATTGCTTATTTAACCTTATAAGTCAATAGCAGTAAAATTTATAGTGTTGATAACCTTATAAGTCAATTACTCAAATAAATTAACCGAATTATTTTGTAATTCATTATTGAAAATCCTACCCTTGTAGTTCATGTTATATTTTTCACATTGTTTTTGTTAGCCTAAAACAGTATATCATTATCATTATTTAATTCCATTAATAGTTAATTTATAATATATCTTATCTTGTACTATCGAGATAACCGTAATTGACAGATCCACGCTATTCTATTTTTAGTATGATATAGTCAGTTTACCATTATTCGATTTAGATACTTATGGTAAAGAACGTGCGCTGTGTTCATATAGAAAACCATTTATACAAATAGGTGACTTTGTTTTTGTGCATTCTAAGGAGAGAAATCTTCTGTGTTGAGAATGGTTTGTTAGCAAAAGGAAATTCTGACTATTTTTAGTACGCTATAGTCAGATTG